TATAAGTTTTTATTAAAAAAATTAAACTTTTTAATAAAAACACAGGCAAATTTGCCTGTATTACAATTTAAGGGATAAAACTTTTATTTCTTATTTGCAAAGTTAAAAATCTGGATTTGAAGACAATAGTTTTGCAGATATAATTGTTCAAAATAAAGTACTATATTTTAATTAAGACAAAACTTTACCATTATTATAGTAATAGACTTTGTTTAACATTAATAACAGTACTAAAAGTTTATATTATTTAATTTAGAAATAATGTCCAAGGTTTCGAATTATGCCAAGTCATATGTCGCACTCTTTGGTTCTTTACCTTTTCAATATCTGAAATAATTGTAAAAGCATGGTCTAGATTATTAATAATGGCTTCTACATATCAAAAATTATTTACGTTTAATTCCTCATTAATATAGTCAACCAAATGCTGCAATGCCGCTATTTTTGATTCTATCTTTTGACATCTTTCAGTAATATCTTTTTTATTTTCATTTGTAAGGTTTTGATTGAACATATTAATCTTATTATACATTCTAAAAGCTTCTATACTTTCAGATATATTTTGTGTTTCTTTTTAGTTCCAAATTAAAAAAGGATAGTCAGTTTGTCATTTAAAATTTGAATAAATTAGTCAAATACCTTGAGGTTCTGATTTTTCTAATACTTTGTGAATTAGATGCTTGCATATGAGAAAGCGGCTTTGAAGAAATGATGGACAGCTACAAATCCAATGTTTTAAATCAATAAAATATTGACTTTCTGTAATATTAACTGGCTTGGTAAGAAGATTTCTCTATTTTTTCTTAAATTCTTTGAACCATAATGGTATTATTCTGCCAGTTAATAATTATTGAAGATAATTAGCTTGATTAGATACAACACGTGTACAAATAATCCATATTAGATAGTCAAGTTGTGGGCGGTTAAATTGGTAGAAGTAACAATATTTTAGAACTCTTCAATGTGCCTTAATCATTATATTAGTTTTGCCAAGTGGTATAGTTGTTTTTGAAGAACATGTCCACAAACACCACCATGTTGATTTATACCAAGAAGACTATAGGTAGATCCATAACAATACTAGATTATTTGTAATACAAAATTTGTATATTTCAAAAACTGCTTTTGTTCTTATTTCTTTAGAAGAAAGAAATTGACCATTATTAGTAGGTATTTTAGGATACATATTGAAATGGTTTTTAACCATTTCAACAACAGTTCTACGAAGAGCAGGGGGCAAACTATATAGTATTCACTATCTGTATATTGCAAATCAGGTATAAAAGAAGATTTTACAAAAGTAAATTCTTCTTTTATAACTTCCTTATAATTATAGTTTAACTGCTTAATTTTTTTATGACTTTTCAATTTTTCTTTAAGAGCTTTGTTAATATGCTATTGACAAAGCTATATATTACTTGTAGGCCACACATTTTTTGTAGCATTTATCTTAGCGAAGTCTTTATCTGTATAAAAATAGGTTGGGTTTAGGCCTTTATCATGAAGAGAATAAAAAAAGCCTGCTAGTGTATCAGTTTGTAACCCTTCTTGATTTTTATTTTTTTAAGCTTTTAATGTATTTAAAATTAAATACACCAAGAGAAAACCAGTACCTTTGACATTACCAACAATGCTATAAAGTTTAAATTTTCTCTTAAAAGTCTTATAGGTGGTATCACAATGTATATCTGAATAATTTGACTGGTTAGATAGTTTCTGGTTAAGCAATTTAGTTGTAAAGCCAATGGTTGTTGTATTAAGCTGATAGCATAATTCATATTTATTTTCTTGTTGCTGGTTAAAAAACTTACATGCTGAAACAATATGATTTTTGTCACTTCTATAGAACTATTGTGTATAATACGACCACCAATAATAAATCTGCTTCGATGTAACATTAGATAAGTCAAACTTTTTATGAAGATATTTTCACAATTCTACAGGATTTAAGTCCAAATTTTTACTAATTTTCTGCTTTATTTCAGATGGCATTGTAAAATTAACAGGTCTTTTATAAAGAAATTTGTGTTTTAAAATTATTTTTGTCTCTGTTGCTGGGATATCAATTTTAATTGATATTTTACCATTACAGTTATAATAGAAGGTTCTTTCATGACTTAAATCCTTGAATTCATACTCAAGTTCAAAACTTTAAGAGCATGCAAAATAAGCATTTCCAACACCAGAATAATGAGCTAAGAGATTTGGTGCGGTTGTAGCTCTATTAGTAAATACAATTAATTATTATAAGGTTAATAATACTTTATAATACTTAGGTAAAATTTATTAATTTTAGTATATATTTGTTGTAGAATTATTTTTTTTGGACTTTGAACTATTTTATTGGATAACTCTATAATTATTTAGATTTGATCAACAAGCATATATGCAAATACACGCATTTAAGCAAAAATTTATACTATATAATTAAAATTAACATATATCTTATTATAGTTATCACCTTCTTCTATTTTGTTAATAATTAATTTGGCTATAATTCTAACATCTGCATCAATATCTTTAATAGTTGCCTTATTGAGTTAAACACAGAAGGTAAGAGAAAGTTCAGCATGATCATTAAGGTCATCGATTGCATTAGCTATATAATTACTAATTTTTTGAATAGAAATTATTTTGATAAATGCTTGTTCAAGATCAGAATCATTAAGTGATTTATTTTTTTTGGTATTCCTCTTTTCAGCTCTCGAAATTTTATAGTGGTTACAAGTATCATAATATTTACTCTTAAGTAAGAATGTATCAGAAGAGAGAACACTTGCACAAGTGCTACAGGTAGATATTATTCTAAGTGCGATTTATTATGAGAAATTATGTAGATTTGAAGTTTTGATCTAATTGATAGAATTTATTTTGGTTTGAGAGCAATTTTAATATTTCAATAATCAGATAAGTAATTTGGTTCAAAATTTTTAGTCTATTTTTTGACAAAATATTAATTACGAAAACTTTAAATAGCTAATAGGAAAGATGGCAACTTATAAATATGTTTATTTACTTTTAATTCAGGTATTTTGTTTAACAATTATTTAAAAATAATCAAATAGTATAACACAAACTAACGATCAATTTGTTTGATTAAACAGAATGTAAATAAAATGAAATAGTATTATTTAATTCATTTGAACATGATTAAAAATAACTACTCAGGGTTTGATTGATTCAGAATAGTAAAATGTATATGAAAACATATATATTATTTGATATATCAAATACATATAAAATTCAGAGTTTGATTCAGAACAGTCAAAATATATATAAAAAATGTATATATTATTTGATATATTAAATGCACATAAAATAAGAGTTTATTTTTGTTTTATGCATATTTTATCACCTATGTTCTAACTTTAATAGATTTAATTATTTGATTATGAATCGAATCAGTTCAGAAATTATTGATTTAACTTACAATTCAAGCAGAAGTTCTTTATTTTAAATTTATGTTCATGCCCAATTATTAAATATGCATATTGTTTATAAATATAGTTCAATTTCACTGCTATTTATTTTTTGATTACCTTAAATTGTATATGTAAATTAAATGTTTTTGATTTTATATAATCTTAATTGTTGTTTTAATTAGTAATTTAAGTACATAACTTACATTGGCTTATAGAATACCACTTTTCTAAAAAATATGCATTTTATCAAGTAAATAAAATCATAAAAGTCTAAATTATTGTGAATATCATCTTATGTAAGACATCCTTTGAAAAAGTTCATTTAAAATCAATAAATTAAATGAAATGATCGTGCAAAACAAAATATTGCCATGCAAATATAAAATATTTTTATATCAGTTTTAACTAGCCTGAAATCAAATTTACCAGAACTAGTTTAGTTTATATAGAAAATTCAACTGATTTAATAGTCTAAATAATTAAAAAATTAAACTTTAAAACGGTTTCAATATGTTCGGAAAATACATGCACGATGTAGATCACTAGCACCGGAAGTCATGTGACAGTAAAATCGATCCTACACCCTGGCTTTGTTCAGCCACGGATAATTAGATACGGATAAACGGATGACGGATCATCCAGATTGGAACTTTAGTTCACCCTCGTTATAACGGACTCCGTTATAACGGATACCTCGTTATAACAGAGTAATTCTCTAAAGCAATTTAAAATTATTATTACTATTATTACTATTATTATACTATATAACGCTTATACAATCACAAACTCTATAATTACACAATATATATTATGTTATATAGCAAAGTTTTATTTTTTATACTATATTTTATAATGTATAACGATTGTTATTTTTATCAAATTATCCAACTAATCAAAAAAAAAATCTGTTTCCTAATGAGTTGTATAAACCATGAGAAAACATGCTTTTATATAATTGTTTATATTTAGTCATAGATTTTATACTAAAAAAATATATATATATATAATCAAGATTCCCGCAAAAAGCTATGCTATATGTAAATAAGATTTACTATGCTTATTATATAACATGATAAAAATAAACCATCACGTAAGTACGTACGATTGCATACGTATTAATATCTCGATTTAAAAAAAAATGTACGAATTGAAGAGATTAAATTACCATAGAGTATTTATAAAAATAATCAATCACAATTTTATAGTCTGATCAAAAAAGCAGTTATAGAAGTTAAGAAAACAATCGAGAGCGCGATTGTTATGGCGGGAGCTGATTTTATGGCAAGACTGGGGGTTAAAAGACTAGAAGGAGAACTTTTATAAGCAGGAGTAGTAGTAGTAGAAGAAATAGGAGTATTAGTAGCAGCAGGCAACTTATATGTATATGTTTTTACAAGGGTAGCGGCACAATTTCCTGTACAAGCTTTAACACAATCTGGATTTGCAGCACCACATTTTGCAGTACAATTTTGCTGATCACTAGAGCATTTGAAATAATCGACTGGCATGGTATACACTATGTACAAAAAAAATAGTTATTAATTAATCAAATATCGAAAAAAGAGTTTAAAAAAAAATAAAATAAAATAAAATTCATAATTACAAGATGGATCTGGCGATTTACCGTCGGCACAAACACATGAATAAGTGAGCTTGTCATAATCACATGTGTTAGTAGTTGCACCGGTGGTTCCGTTATCCTTGCAATAATTGTCACAAACAGCCGTTTGCTCCGTACACCAGCCTTTTTTTTCATCCGCGCTAACACTGGAAGCTATTTTAAAAAAAAGAATTTAGAATGAAAAAAAAAACAAGAATGAATTTAAATATATAAAAACGAATATAACATTAAACGTATAGAAACAAGAATATGATTCAGAAAGTAAAAAACAAAACAGGATTTATTGCTTGACAAATAAAGCAATAGTATTTTTGTATTCTCAAAATGATAAACTTTAAGGAATGTTATAAACTTACGATCAAAAGAGTCGATTCTTGATATGAGACAAAGGGAAATTGTAAAGACAGTTAACAGGAATAAGTATGATTTTATCATTTTGAGTTTGAGTTTCACTTAAGGTCAAGACGTAATAAAAGGCAGTTGTAATCTTTATTTTTTATTTCTTTAACTTGGCGAAGAAATTCTCATGTGTATAAAATATAAGTATATTGCAACAAGATGGTCCCTCAGAAAATGAAGGATTTATGAAAAAGAATCTATTAAAATTATCTATTAAAAATAATCTATTAAAAATTAAAAAACAGATTTTTTAAAAAGACGAAAGTCTCAATTATCAAGAAAGACGATATGTGCACAAATATATATGTAGTAATTAAAATATTGTTCAAACCTGCTTCTATTATTGGACTTCATATGTATTGCTCGATATTAAAGGCTCAATAATACATATTTTAATCATTTTATCGCATATGCTGATCAACCAACGTATACGTACAATGTATTAATTTAATGTAACAGTCTTTTTTCTTGTTAGTCAATGATAATCATCACATCCATGCGGAACATACTTTGCATAAAAAAAGTCCTAATAAGAAGAGTAAAGTTATAAACTTTCTTATATTTTTATGATATTTTTATATCAGGATTTATATATTTATTATCACACGTATACGTATACGTATAAACGATTTAATTCATCTTAACTTATAGAAGGGATATATCGATATGAGGTGTTACACATTAAAGCAGCCCATTTTTACATGTACTGTACGTACGTACGTACGTACGTAAATTAGTTAAATTACTACGTATAAATTTTATTAACGAAATTATTAATATTACTAAAAATTCTTAAAATTAATAAAAAAAAAACTTAAAATACAAGTTCTGTTGAGTAATCGAGCAAATTTTTTAAGCTAGTTAATATGTAACTTTCAGAGGAGGTACAATTTAAATTTTGATAATTTTTTATAATCGTTTCATATAAGATTTTTAATATCTCCTCTGTAAATTACATGTTGACTGTTTTAAAAATTTCGCTCATTTGTTCAGCAGAACCTATATTTTAAACTAATAGAGTTTTTTTAAAATAAAATTTTCATTAAATTTTTATTGAACTTATTGAAATAATCTATTTGCGCAGGCGGTGACGGTACCCGGATTTTATTTACAATTGTATTTAGGATTAGAAAGAACATACCAGTAGTATGTAGTAAAATTATGCAAGGAATATTCTTTGTTAAGTCATGAAACTAGATTTCAAGACATAATTTTGAGTTATTTTGATTTAAAAATTTTGAGATTTTTTGTAACTGCCGGCGACAAATAGATTCGCCCGTATTTTTAACAATGATCAAATGGTTTTTAATAGATAATTGTGATCGTTACGGAAAATATTTTATATTCGACTTTTATAGGAGACTATACATAAATTTGATTTACATAGTACACTGGACACCCCAACGTACTATATACCAGTGTTGAAAATTCGTTGTTTTTTGCACAAAAATTAACAATTACTGTGCAATTGCACAAGAAATAAAATAACATTCCTGTATAAAAATTTTAGTATTTTACTATAGATTTTAGTGATTGTTACGCGAAAATTTTATATATTCGATTTTCCTATGGACAATACATATACTGTATTTGATTTACATAGTTCATCAAACACCCCAATGTACTACGTAAAAAAAATTTTATACAGGAATGTTATTTTATTATTTTGTGCATACGCATAGTAATTGTTAATTTTTGTGCAAAAGCACAACGAATTTTCAACGATACGAAATTGGGAAGTAAATATTTTGTTCTTAACGTTAAGAGTAATTTAATTGGTCGATCTAAATACAGAAATATCTAAATATAACCGTCTAATGTGTGATCCACTTATTTGCGCGTAACCCAAAAGGAAATTTAATTTACGGAAAATTTTACGTTTGCATATAACTCAAAAAGGAAATTTAATATAAAAAAAAATAAACTGTGCGATGTACCTCGGTTAGTTGGAGAAATTCACGTTTGCAATTACAGGGTTAGAAAGGTTAGAAGTCATTGAATTGAAATAGATTGTTATTTATTTATTTGTTTGTTTAAATTTATTTGTTTTATTTACCGGCATTCCTTACATTTTATTGGCCAATCAGCCCGGTGCGAAAATCCGGTTTCGAACTTAATTCTAAAACGTATCAAGTATGTATCAGGTGTAAAGTATTCATTGAATGTTCATTGTACGTACAGTACGTACATACATACTGTAATTACCATTCAATTGGCAAATTCTAAGGTGAAGTAAAATAACATTTTAAGATCAGAACAAAAGAATAACCTAATTTTATCGTAATAGACTAACTAGTTTTATTATCAGTTATTCTGTTTGCACGTAAAAGTTTATATATATATATATTTTAAAAAAAGACATTTAATTAGACTAATCAACTAAAAAAATTTTCTTTTTGAGTGTTCGTATTATGCGTAATTTAGTTTATTTTACAGTAGCGACAGACATTAATGAAAATATCGAAACATATACAGGCTGAATAATGGCAAATCGGGTACAAATCAGATATCTGATTTTAAGTCAATTACTACCCAATTGATGTTAATTTTGTTGCAACAAAAAATCGACATCAATCGGGTAGTAATTGGCTTAAAGTCAGATATCTGATTGTACCCAATTTACCATCATTCGACCTGCATTAGTATAGTTTGTATATTCATACAAAATCATACAAAATCATACAAAATCATATAAATGTTAAGATATTGCAATTTAAGTAATTTGCAGTAATTTACAGTATACGTATCTGATAATTGCATCATTAAAAATTCCTGATATTGTATACGTAGTATGATAAAAAAATTTTGGCGTTCAAGATAGCATGCCAAATATAAAATGATAATAATAGTAATAATATCACAAGAACAATTTATAAATGATTTTTTTTTTTGTAATGCAGTATATAAAAGTTATTTATTGCTTTTTATTTGTAGTGTTATCATATAATTGTATTTTTATATATTGATTTTGATAGCGCACTTTTCAAATTTAATGATATTTCAATGATTTTTATACAAAGGTTTCTATATATAATTAAACGCTTTCAAAATCTTAAAAAGCTTTTTATACAGGTTTAACTTAGTACCAATTTTGTTCATAGAAACTAAAAATTTTATAGGAATTATAGTTGTCTATTTATTAATTTTTCCATAAAAAATAATTAACTACGTATTACCACTTAATATTACATATGTAATATAGCTAACCATGCTTTCGATTAAATCAACTAGCTCTTGTATTACTGTTAGCCAATTTTTGAGTTTCATGCCACATGCATACCTTGGCATGCAATAATCATATGATTTATTTTATTAATTTAATTGGCTAAAAAAAAATTTCTAAAGTTTAATATATATTACATCCTTATAAATTATTGTTAATGGAATGCCAAAACCCTAATTATTATATATGTTGTACGTGGGAATGGGATCATAATAGGTTCGGAATCCAAACCGGAATAATTATATTAAAAATCCTAACTCTAACCTCAAACTTAAATTCTGTCATATATATATAGGGCTGTGTTACATAAATTGCAATTTTACAATACATGTAATTTTACGTAAGTTTCAGTAAATAAGGTTTCATGTAATTTTCGTGAAATACCAGCTTT